GAAACTTCCGAACACTACCCAAGGTTTCATTAACAGAAAGGAAAAATATATATATTATATGCATATATATATATATATTACCAGGTTTTTCAGGAGCTCACATCCTAAGCCGCCAGCTCCAATGACTAGAACTTTACATGTATCTAACAAAAACTGAAGAGACTGAAAAGAATGAAAAAGCATATTAAAATCTGGGAAATAAAAATCATGAATACCATCAATAAGGCAACAGGCATAAATTAGTTCCCAATGCGTCTGTGAAAAATGTAACTGATAAAAACATAACTGCATATTTAATAAAATATTTAAATTTGTGAACTGGGAAGTCCAGAAATTCTAAAATCTTAGTGATTTCATTTTAATTTTAACATTTATCTGACTTAATTATATTAAATGCAAAAGCTACTTCTCTAGCAAGAAAAACAGTTTCAAATTTAAGCGTCCCCTTCCCTTTTTTATTTTTGAAAGAGGTTGAAAATCATCAAATTCTGTTATTTAACTGGCTTCCTAAAAGTAGATCATTTAAACAAACAAACCAAAAAATGGAAACATTTTAAAACCTTAAAAGAAATCACATACTGCACAAGATGTTGAAAAGTTTTTTAAAAGGTAAAAAGGATACAAGCTGCTTTGGAATACACTGGATAAGTATATTCACTGTATAAGTTTACAGTGAAACTTATAAAACAGGAGGTGACCAGAATAAGAGTAAATAAATGAAACTATTAGGAAAAATACTTCTTAGTCACAATTGAACACTTTGGGAGAGTTAACGGGCTGAGTGCTCTTGACCAAAGTCTCTGGGGGGGTTACTTAGGTCAACTGGCACAAAACAAGTCACAAAGAAAAGGTTGTACTTTGGTGAGTAGAAACTAGGGTCTTCAAAGTTTGTGAGCAATTCTGATGGGAAGGATTGGTCTCTCCCTGTCCAGAGAAAAGAGTGAAGAAAATCAAAGGCATACGGAAACAATCAGTCCAATGGATCAGGTAACCTTCAGCCTCCATGACCCTGATTAGAAGAACTACATGATATTCGAACAACTGCTCTGAAAGGGATCGCATTAGAAGGTCCTGAATAGAGTGATCAAAAATCATGGAACAAAACTCAAAATCATTTAAAAAATGACAAGGTTTACTAGTCTGACAGAGATTGGAGGCACCGCAGAGACTGTGGCCCCTAGTCACACTTCAGACTCCAGAACGCCACTTACCCTGGTGTCTCAATTTTCAGCCAAACAGCAGACAGGTCTATAGAGTAAGCAATAATACTAAGGAGGTATCGATCATTCAAAATCCAAAGAACAGCATTTGCCCAAAGGCAAAGCTTAGGAAACAGGAAGGACTGAGAAAGAGAGGATGGAAACGGGAGGCACAGAAGAGGAGCGGGAGGAAGTCCCATTGTGGGAATTGCAATGATGACACGGAGCAAAATACACAGGAACTGCTGAATGGAGAACAATTTGCTCTGCCAGCCTTCACCCAATCCACAATTCAAAATATAATAACAGCAAAATTCTTAGGAAAATTGCCCAGCAACTGAAGTATAACTTGAAACAATCACCTACACAAGTTACTAACGTAAATTATCAGGCAAAAACATTTTCAGAGGCATAAGAAAATATGATGGATTATTTAAAGAATGGTAGAATCGCTACTGAATACAAAGTAAAAGATTTAAAGGAGAGAAAAAATGTGCAGATGAAACACTGATCCACACCTAAGAGCCTGCACTGTAACTATGAACAATAGCATAATATCATATAAAGTATGTCTCTTTATAAACACATAAGGTCACCACGATTTACTATAGAGAATACTCTTTTATAAAGTAGAATTTTTATTTTTTAAAAATGCATTTAACTGAGAGCCTGCTTAGTCAGATACTATCAGTCCAATATACTACACTCTTATTATATAGCATTCACATAATTTTAGCATGCAGTTAACCTCCAATGTTAAGATGCTCATTCTCACTAACTTTCTAAATATAAGCAAGCATATCTATATTCCTGTTGAAATTAATCTCTCACAGTAAGATTAACAAAAGGGGAGTAGTTCAGTAGATATTTAAACTGAATTTTTAAAATGAAGTATCACTTAAATTTTAAATTAGAATTAACTTTCCAATTACATGAGAAATGTGAGAAGACTCAGTCAGTCAAACAAAATTAGTTGCAAATATTGAATTTAGTATCTCAAAGAAACTTAATTTCTCAAAACAATTGTATTAGTATTTTTTATTTTAAGAAGAGCAAATGTAAAAGGAAGCATTTTATCATTTCTGAAACATAAGACTATTAGAGGAGTTATTTAAAAGAAACGTTTCTCACTTCATTGCTTGGTTCGAAATCGGGGTGTGTGAAGGGTCCAGATCGCTCGAGGAACTTCTTTACATGGTTCCAGCGACCTTCCCAGTCTCCAGTGTCCCCACACCCACCATCAACAGCCATTCTGCACAGAACACAGTAAATTCAGCTGCAAAGATCAGTAGGAACCAGCCACACCTACAGTTATGACGGTTTCCCCAAAAGAAAAGGTAACCACACCAGACCTGCTCAAATGAAAAGGAAATATTCAACGTGGTTATGTTTCTGCTTTCATTTATAGTTAAGAATCACACATTGCTGTTGTATTACATGGTTGATGCGCTACATCAGTCTACCTGTCTCTGGATTCTTAAAACAGCCCAAGATCAAACTCTGGGCAGTGGTTGATTAGTGAGAAAAGGCTTCCCCATCGTTGGTACTGACAAAAGACCCCGCAAACTTTCCTAAGCTGTTGTTCAACAGGCTTTAGTCTCCAAAGCAGTTACAAGAGGAAATACATGCTGTGCTTTCTAAACTGAGATGCTTACATGTGTAGTAGATGTAATACAACTCATGTGCCCTTTCCAAGTTTGAAAGGTACAATTTAAAGATCATGTGTGATGGGAGGAATTTTCACACCATTTCCTCAGAAAGAAATATAAGTCGATGTTCAATGAGGAATTTCTTAATCCCGTGAAGTCATTTTTTTATATCAGAAAACAACTC